GTGACAAATAACCTTCAAAAGGCTATGATTTCATTAGCGCTGCACATTCAAAGTCCGGTACTGCGCTGCTTTGTGTTCTGCCGTTACCGGGGAAATAGTTATAGGTCTGCCAAAAGTGTCACCTGCTGGCAGAGAATGAATGTGCATTTTCAATAAAATTGTTTTGTTTAGATTTCAGACAAATGCAAAAATCGACCCATGTTTTTACCCTGCAAACACGCAGAGCTTTAAATGTGAACTGGTGGATCGATAAGAAGACAATGCATTTTAAAAATCTAAACAGTATAGGCGTGTGCGATATGTATGGTTTGCGATAATATCGTAATTGTTTTAATGATGTGCGATTTGATATTATCGAGTATATCACGAAAAGCAAACAAAACACACAGAGTGCACGCATACAACTTAGTAGTTTAGACTAGAGTGTGTTCTTTCACTGCATGAATCGGTCTATTAAAATGCATTCAGAATTATCACATAATTCAAGATATGGGGCAGAAAATTTATATATTTATATAATTTCATATAGTTAATATCACACGAAGAGTGACGTTTTTTTCTCCAAAAGTCAGCATGATTACAAATGTGATATTGATTTTATACAACAGTTCAATAAACAAGAAGTTAATATTAAGAGACTTACGTTTTAGACACCATGTTGCCTGTTTTTGCTCTATTTCTCCAACAAAAATCATTCCAAACACAGCCACAGCGCTGTTTTGCATCTCTGAGTATTGTTCCTGAATGAATCAACCATTTAAAAGATTCGGTTCAATCACAATGACTCCCTTAACAGTGACTTGTTGCCACCTACTGGCGGTTTAAATTTCACTTTTAAGGTACCTTTTCATTTTAAAAATAATTTCAAACATCAGTTTTCAATGTTTTATGTTTAATATATCAAAACATTATTTATGCATTAGTAAATGCAGGTTAAAGTATTCCATGTCCCTCAGAGCTGCATTAAACAGTGTGTAAATGCATCTAAATGCCACTTCTAATGCAGCTAAAGATTTAAGATAAATTTAGTTGATACTGATTTCATTTGCTTGGTAACAGCCCAACTGCAAGAATTTGACTCAAAAGATGGTACATACTTTTAGAAAAAAATGGCTTAAAGGTAAAAATGCCCATTAAACTGGTTGGAAATGATTAATTTCTATCACTTCTGTGAACTGACCACACAGAATATGAAGAATATAAAAAATTTCAGGAGTCAGCTGTCCACGGCAGTCCCTAAGATATCAGCAAAATAACACTCAGCAAAATATCGTCTAATTAACGTTATCGATAAAATCCCAGAACATTACTGAGATATCATTTTTTTGTTAATATCGCACACCGCTTATTTATCTTCGGCAGTCCTTAAGGTACCAGCACAATAACACACTCAGCAAAATATCGTCTAATTAACGTTATCGATAAAATCCCAGAACATTACTGAGATATCATTTTTTTGTTAATATCGCACACCGCTTATTTATGTTATTTAATTGATATAATAATTTATTGATAATAATTGTTTAAATTAATATAACAATTAATACTTTTGACTCATCCATTTTCTTAAAAGTGGTTTCAAGGCTGAAATGGAAAGTTTATCATTTTATAAAACGTTTTGTTTTTGTGAAAACTGTCTGAACTGTAAATTATGCTTTTTACAGTAATTTTACAGTTTAATATGGTACTATAAACATTGCCCTACCCCGCTCATATGGTATTAATTTTATTTGTGCCGGTCTTAAAAAAGGTCTTAAATTTGAGCTTAAAAATCCTGCAGAAACCCTGTCTTTGCACAGATTGAAAAATGATTAGCCTAAAGGTAGCGTAAAATTCAATTAAACGTTATTCATCGCTACTTTTTGAAACAACTTTATCAGCAGATTCTCTACTCAAGCAAATCATTGACCGTCAATGGAGCGCTTGGTAAATCAGGCCTGCAGTATTAGTTTTGGAATATGTGCGATTACACAAGAAACATGTGGAAAAACATGTTGAAAGCGATTTGTTTTCTCTTCTAAATGGTTCATAGTAATGTTTCCCTTATTTGCAGTGCAGTAGATATGTAAGCCTGTACGACATCCCCGTTATCGTGAACAAACACGGCCGAACTGTTCCATGGAGTTCTAGCAGAAGCGCTTCATCCTGACACTGTACCTTTAGATTTCTAATCCCACTCTTGACATGATACTCTCGTTTATGCTTTCTCTTTCTCTGGCTTTGAACTTGTTTCAATAACTGTCTCCCCTCAACACTGTTTTATCATCATTAGCTAAGCCTGGCAAACTACTGCCTTTGGTTTCATTCAGTCAGGAAAAAAACAGTGGGAACAACATACAAATGATAACAGAACTGGGTAAGCTGCGCCTTTGTCCTCCGCTACTCTGATGCACTGCCTCCTTCATCGGCTTGCCTTGATTTCTCTCGCTGCAGCTGAGGCCTGCTCCCATGGCATCACTTTGAACACATTTTTATCCTTAGTTCTGGTTGAAATTGACTGTCTTGTTTTTGGCCTTTTTTAAGGATTTTTTTTCTTTCTTTCTCAGAGCATCACTAGGCCTTTGATCATGCGAGTCTGTCCTTGTGGCTGTATCCATAGCATCTCCCTGCTGTTCAATACTTTGGCCCGGGCTCCTTTTCATCAGCGGCCTGTCTGAAAGACTGACATTTCTCTTCCTTAGCTCACAGGAAGTCTGGGAAGAAATCAAATTAGAAAAAAAAAACCCAGATCAAACCTTGCTTTAAGCTGTTTATTTTTATTTAGTTATTTTGGTGCTGGCCCTAATCTCTGAAGCATAGATTTTGAAAGGGGGTGAAATAAAGATTGTGTGAGGCTGTGTTCAAACCGTGCAGGATTTCAGGGCATTGTCTCTATACGTTGGCCGCTGAGACCATACCCAATAGCCTCAAAGCAATCTGACTGCTGCTGCTGTCCAACCAAAGATACCAATGTTTAAAAACGGGTTTGTGTTTTGTTTTGTTTTTCTTAATATTATTTATAAGTGGACCTACATTTTTACAATAGTGCTCTATAACTTGACTTTTTC